TACATTAACCTTCCTATAAGGAAATAACCTTATTCAGTACTGTGTGGAGGTGGAGGAGACGATGGAAGGGAGGGAGGGTTGCTGCTGGCAAACAACCAAATTGAGACTTAAATACAAATTCTTACTTTTTCTGCTTGTGAGAAAGGCCAAACAGACTTTTTTCAAAAATATATAGCCCCTTCAGCACATACGGTTTACGTAGGATTTGTCTGGGACACTTTAGGGATGGACGGTGCCTGCCTTTCTCATGGAGGGGTAGGAGTGTGCCTTGGATCCTCCTTCAGGCATCCTTCTGTGTGGTTGTCCTTGCTTGCTATGGTGGGAGTGGCAGTGCTCCCAGTTATCCCAGCAGCAGGGACTTGTCCCCAGGCAGCAGTGCCAGCGGCATGGGTGGCAGCCAGGGCTCACCAGGGAGTGTTCCTCTTCCCACTGACACAGCCCATCTTCCACTTCTCTGATTCACCAGTCTATTTGATCAACTATTTAATTTTGTCAAAATCATTGACAAAAGACCATTAAAAGGAGAGTTATGCCACTTCTACGCTCTATGGCTTTAGCTCATTTATTTTAATTAGCTGTAACAAATTCAAAGTTAAACAAGGCTCGAGAGGGTGCTATCTAAATGTGGTACTCATGGCATACACAGTACCATTAACGAAACACTTCTCCACAGCTTGACTATGTTCTCCCCCATCTAGCTTACAGCTCATTATAGCACTAGAGATAGGCAACAGAATGTAACACCTAATTAAAATGTGAGCCTGTGTCCACAGATGATTCAATAGAAATAAAGGCATTAAGCTAGTGAGAGGAGCAGGAGAGAGTTATCACAATAAAAACATCTCATTCAAACAGAGTCTGGAGGAAGCTGTCCCTCTGCTTTACGCATCTGCACAAAGTTGAGGTTAACCGAGTATTTGGGTCCTGATCCAGCAAAGCATTAAAAAGTAAAAAACTGATAACAACTAAATGTCTGTTGTTCTCATTAAGGATTCTGAACCCCACTGCGTAATAACAATTTTTAGCCTGCCCCGTTGGTTGTCATAGAAATAGCACAAGCAACCACTTATTTTGGTAATAGGTTTATAGATAGTGTCTTCTGTTATTTCAGTTGTTCTTTTCAAAATTATACTGATGCATTTTATTGTATAAATAGATGAGATGTCTGCAGCCATTGCAAGATTAATTTAATGTGTGTCAGGTTAAGCATGTTGAAGGCATGCATAGAATTCAACAGTTTTTTAATATTGTTACTCTCCAAAATACAGAAAAACTACAAATAGCTAGACATGAACTTAAAATGAGACATACCAAAGGTAAGCAAACTAATCATGTCTCCCTCTGTTTGTTGCAGGTGGGACAGTCCCCTGTCTGATCTGTTTTTCTTCAATCAGTATCTTCAGATCACAACTACTGTGCCATCCACTTCGGTGTACGGGTTTGGTGAACATGAGCACCTGTCCTTCAAACA